TTCACTTTATTAGAATTAGATTTACTTGATATAAAAATGTATGTATTTATCAAAATTAACAGTATTTAAAAAGTTTTCACAAGGCACTAGTTATTTTTTAATAATTAAAATGTTATAAATTAAATTTTTTTCTCTTATATAACTTAAATCATATATGTTGATGAAATGAATGACCAAAGCTAATGTTGATATTACTATCATTATCTTGTATTGGAATTGCACAAATACAGATAGTAACTTATCATCAAATTAACCCCTTTATGTCTCAACCAAGTTAAACCCTAATTTTGCAAAGAACAGGGGTACAGTTCATCGAAAATATAAAGTTGAATTCAAAATTGAATGTGCAACTTTAATGTACAACCGAACCAATGGATAAATAATAATTTAATTATATAGAACAATTAGTAAACAAACAATTAATAAACAACAGGCATCGTCATGTAAATTTCTTTTTTGTGATTTAAAAAATTCTTGTGTTTTTTGAAATTAATATTTGATGTGAAATGACCACAATAATAATGAAATGATAAATAATAATAATTGATTTTTTTCTTTAATTCATAAAAATCCTCTAAACTTTTGTATTTTATAAAAAATTCTGTTACTATTTCTTACCTAATTTACTTGGAGAAGGAAAAAAAATTATTGTGATTTTAGTTTTTCTATAATCCAAATTATAATATTAGTGATAATAAAGATATATATATTATATACCTTGGAATTGCTTTGGCATTTTTAGACGGATTTTAAAAATAAACCAAATAATCAATCAATCAATCAATCAATCAATCATAATATCAATCAATTATCCTGTATATAAATGAAATATATAATTACTTTGATAACAATATATTCAAACATTCCTTATGTATTTTATATAATACAGTCGACAATTGTAGAATTAATGAATGATCTTGGTAAATTCCCTGATAAATTTATTTTATAATTAACTAATAAATGATAATAATAATTATTACAGTTATTTTAAAAAACCATATCATAATAATTTAAAGATAATCTTTTTTAAAATCAAAATTATCTTACAAATAACAACCCTCTCGTAATTTCAAAACCAATATATTTTCTCTAATAAAAGGAAATGATAGATATGAAGATGGAGACAAAAATGAAGATGATGGCAAAGATGAAGAAGCAGAAAAGGTTGAAAGTGTATCATCATTATATCATATTTATGATTCTATCATTTTTCATTTTAATTCGTTCTATGAATTTTCCCTAAATATTTAAAAATATTAGCATCCCTCCCTCCCTTGTACATGCATAAAAAATTAAAACTCACCATAAAATGCAGCAACAGATCTTGTAATCCTAAACCAGTCACACAGGAAATTACCTGATGGTGTGTAATAATACAACAGGATGATATAAAAGAAAAATAGATTATTAATAAATTTTGGATCATAATACACAAAAAATTTAATAGAAAAGTTTTTTTTAAGAATGAATGTACCATATATGGGACGCACTGCAACAAAGCCGGACAAAGTGAACATTATATCACATAGTATTACTTTATTTAAAGCAATGATTGAAAAAAAAAAACTCCAAGACATTTGAACTAGTGGCAAGTATGCCAAATACTTATGGTTTAAACTTACATTAATTTGCTAATAGTCAAAATAAAAGTTTCAACATAATTTGTTAGATAGATCAAAGTAACACAATATACAAAATAATGAAACAAAAATAACAATCTATATCTTTCTGAAAAGAAAATTGAAGTTTTATTATTCTAAGGGTTATGCTACCAGTTTAATACTTATAATTAGTCTTTTAACTAAAGAAAGAAAATGTATAAAGGTTAACTCATCTATGTAAATGTAATATTAATGATTGTCATATTGCATCATAGAAATGTATGAATTTTATTCACTCAAGATGCATTTAAAATAAATCTTTGTTCTTATAAATAATCCTGCATTGTGTTGTTGAAGCTATAGATGTTAGCCAAAATTGGTTTGGAAAAAAATAATTTTGACAAACAATTTTGGATTTACAATACTTTTTATCAAAAACAATGTCATTTTATGTACATATGTAAACTTGATAAGTCGGTCATGTGGGGGTGAGCTCATATGACTAACTTATCAAGTAAACTGACTTATTGAATTAAATTACTTAAATATTAAGAAAACAGGATGAAAATTTGGCCAACTTATTGAGTAAACTGACTTATCAAGTGACTGACTTATCAAGTTTACATATGTATTTTGACTTAAATAACTTGAATATAATTTTGGAAAATTTCAGCAATTATGACAATTAATTTCAAGAAACTATTTTAGCATTTCGAATTCAGCAATGATCATTTACTAAGAGAAGTAATTTTGGCCAACATCTATAGTTGAAGCATTATAAAAGCATCACCAGTTTGCTTATTTTCAGGCAAAAAATTCAAGCACTTTAATCTGTATAATTAATTATTGATTTTCTTTTTTTTCTTTGGTGGGATGTACTTTGGTGAAATTTCTATTTCTGAACTCCATTTAATTATTTGCTTTGAAGGTGATGATTTAAATTCCTCTTCAATCTCAAGTGCATTGGATAAAGATCTCAAGTTTTTGTCTACAAGATACTAAAAAATATAAAAATGATATAAACATAGCTAACAAATTTATTTTAAATTTAATGAAATTAAATTGCTTACTCTAATTTTGACAAAGGTTTTTTTTTTAATGCAATAAATTTATTTGGAAGTGAAAGTTTCCCTATATTTTGTGATGTGTATGGTTTTGGCTTGATTAGAGATAATTCATATATGTTTACTTCATTCTCTATTAAAAAAAAAACAAAATTTATAGTTACTATTTCTAAAATTTAACATTTACTTGAAACTATGAACTATCAAGGAATATACATTTATGTCTTTAATTCTGCACTTATTATGTTTTGGAAGAGAAGTTTCAATGAAATATAACATATCATGCATTTCAACACAAGATTTAAATTTATCACTAGAATTCTTAGTTATATCATCAATTATACTGTCTTTTGCCACTCCAAAACTAAACTGATACTCCATTGGTTTATAATGCATATCTACTTTATTGATTGTATTTTTCAGTACTGGTAAAATATTTGACCATTCTTGCCTAGTTATTTATTGCAAATTATTTGCATGACGTTTGGCACAGATTGCTGCATGACATTTGGTTTGTGATCTTAACACTAGACCAGAAAAAACACTCCCTCCAAAATCAGAAATTCAACACTTATACATGCCTTTTTTGTGCACTTCCACATTATCACATGTGTGACAAACTATTTCACCCTTTTCTGTGCTTTTTGGACAAATATAACTAGGAGTGTTATCATATTCATGTTTTGCAACTGTTTCAGCCATTTGTCACTTTTTTCATTCCTCAGATTTTTGGTGAAACTTCTTTACCTCTTCTTGCTCTATTTCCATTCTTTCCTCCATCTCTTCTACTTGTGCTTCTAACTCTTTTTGTTTGGCTTCCAAAACCTTAATCTTTTCATCCTTAGCTCCGATAATGTCTTTAAGAATTGGGGCATGGACAATAGAAAAGGGCATAACTACCAAAATTGTGATTTTGAGTTAACAACATTCCTATGCGTAATTTACTACAAAGATTAATTTTAGCTTAGAAACCATACCCACTTTGCTTAATAAAGTTTTGAGATAGTTAAAGAAAACTGCAAGATGTACAAGAACCAACAAATTGGTATTATACTAAAACAAGTAATGATAAACCTAAATCCGGAATTAGTTTAAATCATGTAACACGAATTTATTAAAAATTTTTTTTGTTATTATTATTATTTTTATTAAATGGAAAATAAAAACAAATAAAATTTTATCATCTAAAATTTGCTTTTTCACAACACAAACAATTGAATCTGATATTTAAAAAATGACTTCTACACATTTATTTTTTAACAATATTTTTACTGAGACACATCCTAATTTAATTGACTTAGAAGAATCTTTTGCTAATTTGAAAACAAGTTATATGCCTAATTTAATTATTAACAAAAATGAAGAAATAGTTGATGAAACAGAGATAAGTCATGATGAAGAAGAAGACAGTTGTGAAGCAGAAGAAAGTGATTATGGAATGGAAATGTTGTCTAAAGAACAATTAGAAAAATTCAAAAATATATACAATAAAAATAAAATAATGGATGACCAAATTATTGACTCTGAAGAGCAAATAGAAATAAATCATGATATCAACCATTATGTAGCAAATTTGCTAGAAAGAGATTGTTGTCAAAAAGAATGCTTGAAAATGAATTTAAATTTTAATGATGTTAAAACTAGATATAAATGTTTTCTTGATCTTAAAAAAACTGAACAAGATATTTTTTTAAAAGGTTTTCTTTCTGCTAGTATGAGAAATGAAATAACTACTAGAGGAGAAAAAAGGAGAAGATTGGCAAATGTCTGTTCTTTTGGAGGAGTTGAAATTTGTCTGACTGCATTCATGGGTATCTATGGTATAGGTAAAAGAAGATGGGGAAATGTTAGAAATCATTTTAATGAGTTTGATATACAGCCAAGAACACATTCTTTAACAGGAAAAGTAGGTAATAAAGCAGTATCATTTGATGGGGTTTTGCAGATTATTAAATTTATATTAAATTATTCTAATAAAATGGACTCCCATCTCCAGGTAAATATAAATTATTTAAATTTGAAAAAGAAAAGTTTATAAATAATTAATTAATGTAAAATTTATTATAGGAAGAAAATTTAAAAAAGACACAAAGCCTATTATATTTCTCCCAGCAGATGAAAATCACACTACTGTATTTAAATATTTTATTGATGCAGTTGAAGAAAATTCTGAAATATATGTCTCAAATAGAACATTTCAAAGAATATGGCATACATATCTTCCAGAAATTAAATTTCTTACTCCAAGAAGTGATTTATGTCATATTTGCAAAGAACATAGGTTCAATGCAAATTGTTGGATGGAAGAAGAAAAGGAAATGAAGGTTAGAGAATG